GCACCTCCGATTAGCACGGTTGACGACGTACGGTGCGACGGAAGTTTCAGCGTGCTTACTTTACAACAAGGGTGAAAGCGGTTGGCAGTTGTCTGCTGGTTTCACCGCTGCCCGATTGGATGGCCAATATTGTCAACTCTTCTTGAGTCATGATAGATGTTTTTTTTTTGTGTTGGATCGCATAGGTACAACGTCAATGTGCGTTGCACACCATCCTCCACCCGACACAGCATTTAACAGTTTGGTTCTATCTTGTGGATTGTTATACGTTATGGATTGCCGCTAAACATACTGGCACACTGGTGCAATAAACACATTGGCGCACTTGTCGAAGTGACAACTTTATTTGTCTGGCCGCCGTCTGGTGGAGGAGGGTATACGACACCCATTGGTATCGCGCTCACGTGGCGATCTGACCCAAATATCCATCGTGAATCATAACATATGTCGTGAAAGTCTCCTCGTTCAACTCTTCTTGAGTTGGTGACCTTAGCGGCAACACGGCCGCACGTTTGGCTACGTCGCGCAAGTGGTTTAGACAAGGCTGAGATCATTGTTCACTCAGCTTTGTTGTTCAATCTATGAGAGAGCAAGGGTGGTACAGTGAGGGAAAAAAGTATTTGATCCCCTGCTGATTTTGTACGTTTGCCCACTGACAAAATAAATGATCAGTCTATAATTTTAATGGTAGGTTTATTTGAACAGTGAGAGACAGAATAACAACAACAAAAATCCAGAAAAACGCATGTGAAAATTTTTATAAATTGATTTGCATTTTAATGAGGGAAATAAGTATTTGACCCCCTCTCAATCAGAAAGATTTCTGGCTCCAAGGTGTCTTTTATACAGGTAACGAGCTGAAATTAGGAGCACACACTTAAAGGGAGTGCTCCTAATCTCAGCTTGTTACCTGTATAAAAGACACTTGTCCACAGAAGCAATCCATCAATCAGATTCCAAACTCTCCACCATGGTCAAGACCAAAGAGCTCTCCAAGGATGTCAGAGACAAGATTGTAGACCTACACAAGGGTGGAATGGGCTACAAAACCATTGCCAAGCAGCTTGGTGAGAAGGTGACAACAGTTGGTGCAATTATTCGCAAATGGAAGAAACACAAAAGAACTGTCAATCTCCCTCGGCGTGGGGCTCCATGCAAGATCTCACCTCGTGGAATTGCAATGATCATGAGAACGGTGAGGAATCAGCTCAGAACTACACGGGAGGATCTTGTCAATGATCTCAAGGCAGCTGGGACCATAGTCACCAAGAAAACAATTGGTAACACACTATGCCGTGAAGGACTGAAATCCTGCAGCGCCCGTAAGGTCACCCTGCTCAAGAAAGCACATATACATGCCCGTCTGAAGTTTGCCAATGAACATCTGAATGATTCCGAGGACAACTGGGTGAAAGTGTTGTGGTCAGATGAGACCAAAATGGAGCTCTTTGGCATCAACTCACCTCGCCGTGTTTGGAGGAGGAGGAATGCTGCCTATGACCCCAAGAAAACCATCCCCACTGTGAAACATGGAGGTGTAAACATTATGCTTTGTGGATGTTTTTCTGCTAAGGGGACAGGACAACTTCACCGCATCAAAGGGACGATGGACGGGGCCATGTACCGTCAAATCTTGGGTGAGAACCTCCTTCCCTCAGCCAGGGCATTGAAAATGGGTCGTGGATGGGTATTTTAGCATGACAATGACTCAAAACACACGGCCAAGGCAACAAAGGAGTGGCTCAAGAAGAAGCACATTAAGGTCCTGGAGTGGCCTAGCCAGTCTCCAGACCTTAATCCCATAGAAAATCTGTGGTGGGAGCTGCAGGTTCGAGTTGCCAAACGTCAGCCTCGAAACCTTAATGACTTGGAGAAGATCTGCAAAGAGGAGTAGGACAAAATCGCTCCTGAGATGTGTGCAAACCTGGTGGCCAACTACAAGAAACGTCTGACCTCTGTGATTGCCAACAAGAGTTTTGCCACCAAGTCAATGTTTTGTAGAGGGGTCAAATACTTATTTCCCTCATTAAAATGCAAATCAATTTATAACATTTTTGACATGCGTTTTTCTGGATTTTGTTGTTGTTATTCTGTCTGTCAGGTTCAAATAAACCAACCATTAAAATTATAGACTGATCATTTCTTTGTCAGTGGGCAAACGTACAAAATCAGCAGGGGATCAAATACTTTTTTCCCTCACCGTAGATTCGCTGCCACAACATGAGATTTGACAGCGCATATATATGGGCGCGGCATCGCACGTGCAAAATCTTTCACGCAGCCTTATCCCGACCACCAGCTCAAAATAACTGCGTGTGTGTCCATTTTATCGTTAAGAAATGCGGCCATCCCAAACGGGCACACACACAACTCGATGCCAAATTTCGTCCGCATTGGGACTCATCGGTTCTTTTTGAGCTGGTGGTCTGTATAAGGCCCGAGAGCTTTTGTACATGCAGTGCTGCACATCTCTGTGTGTGTATGTGTGCACGCGCGTCGTTAAATCTGTTTGCTGCGATGCCGTTTTCCCCATCGTGTACAGATTTCAATTAGAGGTGCCATTGGAGTCGTTCTTTCAAAAAAGTCGTAATTTAATTAATCCAATCAATTCGGCATCGGTGTTCCTCTGGAACGCCGTCACCGCACTTTCAACGCAGACACACTCAAGCAAGGTGCAAAACACAATTACCGTAAAAAAAACACTCGATAATTACACCATATGTATGGCCTAAAAAAATAAAAAATAAATCGGATAGGCTGCGTTTCGTGCAATGGGCCTTCTTCATGGCAAATAAATGTGGATGCCAGACAGACAGTGGACGATAAGAGTTGGAGACTGCACATGTTTATGCAATGGTGCCTGATGAGAATTACATTTGTAAAATGAGCGCGTATGAATAGTTAGCCATTGAATACCAGACACAAACACTTCATTAATCACAAAGAGTATTATTTATATTCTTGGTTCTTTTGGTAAAGTCACGTAGAAGGGAAACAATAAAATAATAAATAAAATTATCACGACGTTTCGACTGCAACACAAGCAGTCATCATCAGGTGTGAAAACCACAGCAAGAAAATTTGGTTTTCACACCTGATGATGATTGCTTGTGTTGCAGTCGAAACGTCGTGAGAATTGTATTGTTTTATATTTTTATTATTTTATTGTTTCCCTTATACGTGACTTTACCGAAAGAACCAAGAATATGAATCCCTGCAGTCACGAAAGCTTTAAATAAAAAAGAGTATTATTCAAAAAATGAAAACGCCGGAGAAAACGTTAATATATATTTTTTTTCACGACCTGAAGACGAACCGCCAACTTTATTTAATTTACACCTCCGTCATCGGAATGGGAGAGGGTTAATTGGCGTCAATCATCGCCTTGTGTTGATTAGGATTTAAAATTGAGCTGGTAATTTGACACGTCTCTTCTTTTCCTCGTGCATGCGGGGGCCCCCTTGGGTTGCTTGGGGCCCTCATCTCTTTGCCTGGTTCGCTTGCTTTATGGCCTGCGCCACAGCGGGGCGACGCCTGATGTGCTACCGATGGCCCAGGCGACGAGGACACATCTTTTGCGCGAAATATTTAACACTGACGGCGAAGAATGTTTTTGACGAGCAGCTCACAGAGGTGGAGCCCCTGCAGCGGGTGCCACGGTGGCCAGATGTTAACTACCTCGCCTGGTATGCAGGAGGTCGTGGGTCCGATACCGACCCTGATGCCTGCTGCATATTTGGAGTTCTCCCAATGGTTTTCACCTCCGCATTTAGAAACGTGCGTTTACAGTATTTGTCTGCTATAAATGTCCACATGATAAGCCACTTCGTTGAGCTATCCTTTGTCACCTGGGCGCTTCTGAAAAAGGGCTGTATAGCTCACTGAGCCTTATCTGGTTGCAAGGCCGCGTGGGTTTTTCTCCGGGTCCTCCGGTTTTTCCCACTTCAATTAGAAACGTGCGTTTAGAGTATTTATAAACTTGCGACAAATTTCCACACGGCGATAAGCCACTTGGGTTGAGCTATCATTTGTGGCCAGGTCGCTTCTGAAAAAGAGCTATATAGCTCAGTGGTGCCTTGCCTGCTAAAATAAAACATAGTTTAGTTTAACTGCCTGCTTCTTACAGCACTGGTGGTGGAAGTTGGCCTCCAAATTGTAGAAGTGGGCAGGGGGGGGGTGGAAGTGTCGCCTGCTCTTCCACACTCATTCAAAGCGCGTTCAGTTTAGACCACGGGGTCGACCTTTAGGCCACCGCTGTGCATTGTGTCGGGGAAACTGATTTCCGAGAAGCGTGCTTTGCTTCATCAGCTACGCGCGGAGGTGTTGATCGGGAAAACGCCGCTTGTTACCAATGCGCGAGAAACCAATCTTCGTTAGGTATGTGCGGAGGTGTTGCTCGCATAATTGGCGTGGTGCTGTAATGCTGTCACGTGGGGGATGCCAACGCAAGGAAAATGGAAAAGGTTAAAAGTGCAGCCCCTGCAATTACTCGCTCACGCCTCTGCTGCTGGAAATGCCTCCATTACGAGGCAGCCCGAGCAAAAGCCCCCTCTCCAGTGCATTTCTGCCTACTCTTCCACGCTTGCCGAACCATCTTATAAGAGGTGACATTACCCACACTTTGCTCCACCGTACGCAACCTGCGCATCCACTAACCACGGTGTATCCGTTGATACTGTCGGGTGGTGGACAGAGGCCACCCGCAGAGACGGAATCGAAGCGGCGAGACCTCTGAATCACAAGTCCAGTGGCGCTAATGACCACTATACCGCGGTGGCTCCCCCAGGGTGCCACCGCTCTTCCGGTAAGATTCAGCATCATTCTCAGATTGCCTCCCCCGATCACACGGCTCACGAGAGACTGAAATCATCAGGCAGCCGTGCGGGTCCGGTGCCGATGTCCCCGTGCCGTGTGTGCGTGCGCGCGACGTGGGCGCTCGCTCTGCGTGCATCCGTTCCCCCTCCAAGCGTTCGAGACTCTCAGCCCCGTGGAATGAATAAATTAGTAAAAAAAAGACCCCCTCCTATTGTCACGTTCCCTAAATAACTTTCCAAAGGACGTATCTCCATTGTACAACCGGCTCTCGCCGCGCACACGCAACCGCCGGTTGACGTGTAAGTTTACACCTGCGGGTGGCTTCCCAAGTGATTGCCTACTTGGGGGAATCGGACCCAGGCCCCAGGTTGCTCAGAGGTGTGCACGCACGACGTGGCGCTGGGACTCATAGGCTGCGGGTGGCTGGGACTCACGAAGATTCACCTCCCCAAACCTATCCAGAAGCTCGCGTTCTAATAGCTCGGTTGAAGAGGTAAAACAAAAAAAATGCTACCGTTTTTTTTTTTTATTCACGAACTGCACCGACAAAACAAAAACCTGTTTAAAACTCACAGGTGTCGGAAAATCCGGATCCGATCCCGGGTTTTATTTACGGTGCTCGCCCGGTGTCCCGGCCACCGTCGCATTGCTCTCTGCATCGCTACGCAAACGGCTGTCGGTTTGTCTCTTTAAATGTTGCGGTGCGCTTGCCGTAGCTGGCGGGTGGTGATAGATGACAGGGCTTTGGCCGCCCCCAAAACCTCCTCACCGGCTCGAAAAATTGTTCACAGGCCACAGAGCCAAACCTCCCAGAGCCCGACTCGGCGAGAATGCGCAAGGCCGCCACAGACGACAATTCGTGAATCCATGATCCGGGGGGGGCGGGGGGGGGGGGGTTCGTCAAACACTCGTCAGTCTATCACTTGCTCTGCCAACGGCCCTCTCGTTTTAGAACTTACATTCAGTACACTGCTCCCGATTCAGTCCATGTGTTGCGATCAGCTGCCTGAGCTGCCCGGCTACCGTCAGTACCACAAGTGTAAAAATCTCATTCAACCGATAAATAAATGCACAGTTAAGCCGCCTACGTGAACGGCACAAGATGTCACACCTCACCACGTCTGCGCCGTGCGTCGACCAATGTAGCAAAAGAGGTGGCATGTTTTGATTTAAAGCTTTCGTGACTGCAGTAATTCATATTCTTAGTTTTTTCGGTAAAGTCACGTTGAAGAGAAACAACAAAATAACAAAATATATATAAAACAATAAAAATTCTCACGACGTTTCGACCATAACTCAAACGGTCATCATCAGGTGTGTCGGTTTGCATAAATTTATTTTGAAAACGGCATATTTATTTATATATATATAAATAACGTTTGCGTCACGCGCAACGATTGGCTGTTTGCCAGGACTAGACCATCTATTTTTTGAAAAGAGGAGGTGGGAGACGAAATTTGTTTTTATGTATGCTGTCTGAAAGCCACTGTAAGCGTGAACAATCAATCAAGAACTGAAATGATTTATCAAATCTTTCCAATGATTGCTAAGATATAATCCATCTTCTCGGTTGAAATTGTCTCTGTGTTTGTATATGTGGATAGCCTCATGAACGAATCTCTCATGGAAGCCAGATGGCTTACAAAGAACCTCCGTCTTGGAAAAGTCAATGGCATGTGAGCCTACTGAATTAGAACAATGATCTGCTACGGCCGAGGTGTTGGTCCTACCGTGTTTAAGGTCTGCTTTATGTTCACGAATGCGGTCCGAGATATGGCGTTTGGTTTCTCCAATGTAACTACTACCACAGAGGCAACTTAGTTTGTAGACACCAGGGTATTGTATGTCCGGAATCACATCTTTTACAGACGGAACCAGATCACGGATTTTATGTAATGTGTTGAAACGGACCTGGATCTTGTGTTTATTCAAGATTTTGGAGATCTTTTTTGTGATCCCAGCAATGTAGGGTAAAGTGATGGTTTTGAAAGGCTCCTCAAGAGGGTTCTTCTTCATGGTTTGAGTGATAGCTTTGCGGATTGTATAGTCGGAGTAACCATTAGCCCTAAGAGCTTGGTGTACGTGCTTGAATTCACTGCTTATGTGTTCCTGGTCGGATATGCATTGGGCTCTATGATACAGAGTCTTGATGAGAGAATTCTTCTGTGATGGATGGTGGTGGGAATCCGGTTTCAGATAAGCATCCGTATGGGTAGCTTTCCTGTAGACAGAGTGGCTCATTGAACCATCAGGTCTCTTTTTAATTAGGACATCCAAAAAAGGTATCTTGCCATCTATTTCGACTTCCATGGTAAATCTGATGGCTGGGTGTATGGAATTGATGTGGTCGAAGAATTGGTCTAGAGCAGGCCGGCCATGTGGCCAGATGACAAAAGTGTCATCCACGTACCTCTTCCATAAGGTTGGGCGCAGAGTGGCAGTCTGGATGGCGTCAGTCTCAAATTTCTCCATGAAAATGTTAGCTATAACTGGAGAAAGGGGGGAGCCCATTGGGGTGCCCTCAGTTTGTTTGTAGAAAGTTCCATTCCAAGTGAAGTATGTATTGGTTAAACAGTGTCTCACCAGGGGGGGTACCTCAGTGTTTAGTCCTTGATGAACCAAGTCTTCAATGATTGCAATGGTGTCAGGTACAGGAACCTTGGTGAATAAGGAAACTACATCAAAACTGACAAGCAGGTCGTCTGGGGACAGGGAAATACCCTTGATTGTTGATACCAGGTGAGTAGAATTTTGTACCGCAGAGGTGGTCTTTCCAGTGAAAGGACGCAGGATTTCAGACAAAAAACGAGCTAGTTTGTAGGTGGGGGAGCTGATAGTAGAGACTATGGGACGAAGAGGTGTATCAACTTTATGTATTTTTGGTAAGCCGTATAATCTTGGTGGCCTAGCAGCAGAAGGTTTCAACGAAAACTGTTTAGATTGATCAATTAATGCGGTTGAATCAGAAATTATTTTGTTGGTTTGTGTGACGAGGCTGTTGGTGGGATCTCTTTTTATTTTTGTATAACTACCATCGTCGAGTAATTCTTTAATTTTGTTGTTGTATTCTATTTTATCCATGATGACAGTAGCATTGCCTTTGTCAGCTGAGAGAACTACAATATCATTCCTCTTTTTTAATTTATATAATTCAAAACGCTCATCTTTGCTGAGGTTGCTAGCTGGCATCTATTATGCAAACCGACACACCTGATGATGACCGTTTGAGTTATGGTCGAAACGTCGTGAGAATTTTTATTGTTTTATATATATTTTGTTATTTTGTTGTTTCTCTTCAACGTGACTTTACCGAAAAAACTAAGAATAGGTGGCATGTTGTGACAATGAGCAGCAAGTTTCGAGACTTTGTGAAGTAAATTCCGCGTCTCTCATCTTTTTTGCAGGAGCACGAGGCCGCCACGGCACCGGGTGAATAAAGGCCGTCGAGGCGCGGGATGAGCGGTGGAATGCGCTACGATGGACGCTTTGGAAACCACGTCCGGCCACGGGCGGGGGGGCGCCGCTTCTGCCGTCTGAACCATTGACAAACCGCGCGGGCTCCAACGGAGAAGCCGAGCGTTGTCCCCGGTGAGGAGCGGCCACAGCCACTGGGGCGATGGCGCCGAGCACGTGAGCGCCCTCCATGGCCGCGGCTCCGATGCTATGACGAGCACCGGGCCAGTGGCGCCACCACCACTTCCTCCTCCTCTTCCTCCTCCCGCATCGATGATCGGCAAGGACAGCGCTGTCGAGCAGGCCGGTCGCTCTCCCGGCAAAGCTGTCGACGCGGCAGACAGACCCCGCGCCTCGGCAGCCACATCCCTGGAGGCCGCGGGGCGGCCCGTGGAGCTGGGCCCCGCCAAGCCGGCGGTGGTCGATCGTCATGGTGACCGTGACGACGATCGGAGCGGACCGACAGATCGGGCTGCCGTCGCTGGAGTTGCGCACGTTGAGTGGCGCCGGGCGGCCGCTTGCAGCGGCAGAGAGGAAGCCGGGGAGAGGCCCGCGCTGCTCGCAGAACCGCACTCAAAGGCCAACCACGTGCAGGAGCAGCAGCGGCAGCAGCAGCAACAGCAGAAGCAGTGTGAGGAGTGGGAGCACTGCTTGGGAGCCCTGACTGTCCCCAGCCGTGGAAGAAGAAGGTCGCGAGGAGGGAGGTCACACAGAGAGCGCCTGCTCACGAGGCTGCCTCCAGCGCAGCTGGGCCCTGACCTCGAGACTCCCGGCCCTGCGTGGAGCCCTGGGAGGTCGCCTCCCAGCAGTGCGGTTCGCGGTAAGCGGTGGCCCGGCGCGGCGCACGAACCGCCGCCGCCACATGGCACGAGCGGTGCCTGCGGAGGTGTTGGGAGGAGGAGGCGGCACTACTGCCGGGACGGGGAGGACAAGCTGAAGAAGCCGGGCAAGTACGCGTGCTCCTACTGCGGCAGGGCATGCGCCAAGCCGAGCGTGCTGAAGAAGCACGTCCGCATGCACACGGGCGAGCGACCATACCCGTGCCTGGCCTGCGGCTTCTCCTTCAAGACGAAGAGCAACCTCTACAAGCACTGCAAGTCACACGCCCACGCCGTGCGGGCCACGCCGCTCTGGCCCGCTGACGAGTCGGGCAAGGGGCTTGCGCCTGGCGTGGACTCGGAGGATCCACCGGGCGGCCCGTCGGATGGGGAGAGAACGGACACGGATGTCGAGTGCTGTGTGGACGAGCTTGCTCCCCGCGACATCGACGCCTCAGCAGGGGGAGCTTTCAAAGCGCGACAGGAAATATGGACATCGCCACGGGCTGCGCCGGCCCTCTTCGGTGAAGAGCAGGAGGTGAAGGAGGAAGTGCCGAGCCGCTGTTTTGCAAATAAGGGCGTTTCGGATGCACGCAGCGAGGAATTCCTTCCAAGGGAGACGATGGGGAAGGGAAACGGCGTCGGCGAAGGAGAAGTCACACCGGGCCTGGCTGCCTCCGCCCTGCCACAGATGGTGGTGGTCGCGGCGGGCCAGGGTGGCCGCGCCGTCGCCGAAAGCGGGCAGCGGAGCGTAGGCGTGCAGCAGCAGGCTCCCACGGCGGCGGCGAGCGACAACGATCTCCGCTCGGCGAAGCACCGGCTGTGGCGCAAGCGGGAACTGGAGTCGAACTCGTCGGGGCACCTCCTCACGCCTAGTCCGTTCAGCAGCAAGGGGAGCACTGACTCGGGGTACTTCTCCCGCTCGGGCAGCACTGAACTGTCGCTGGCCAGCCCGCTCGCGCCGATCACTGTCACCTGCACCGGCGGCGGCGGTGGCGGCTACAATGCGCCGTCATTCGCCTTCCAAGGGTCGGCGGGCAGGGGTCGAGTGACCGAGCGTTATGCGCACACGGGCTGGCGTGGTGAGACTGTGGAGGACGACGAGGAGGACGGCGAGGAGGAGGGGGGGCCAGCGGATGCGAGGACATGGAGCGACCCTGCGCTCTCTCGCCGAGGAGGCGGCGCTGGTGCCGGCAGCGGCGCCGGTACTCAGGGACCGCACCCCTGCCACGACTCCGGCCGCCGCAGGAGCTCGAGCGCCGACCCTCCCGTGAGCGTCGTCTCCGGCGGCGCCAAATGCCAGAGCGGGGAGTTTTTGGACGTGCCTGTGTTCGAGACGGGCGGTTTCTTCCGCAGCAATTCCATGCCGACGTGCAATCCATCGCGGAGTGGTCATTCGCCGGCTGGGCACCCAGCCGGCGCAAGCCTGTCATTCGACGAGTGCTTCCCGAGGAAGGGCGGCTCCATCGGCGGATCCTCTCCGGCGCTCGCGTACGGCACAAACCCTCGACCGCTGGTGAGGCAGCAGGCCGTAGAGCTCCCGGCCTGCAGGGACATTCAAGGGAGGCAGTTTCACGAACAGACGAAGGTCACATCCGTAATATGGCAAAGCAGCGGCAGCTTGCTCTCTGAAACGGTGGTCCCGCTGGGAAATAAGACGGCCGTGGCCCCGAGTTGCCAGGGCGATAATGTGAGCGTCAACCGCACAGAGAGGGACGTGGTCACGGCGAGGCTGTTTCACTGTCCGGGGGCCTTGGACCGCACCTCGCTGCAGGGAAAACGGAGAAAACCCAAAAGCGTCAGGGACGAGGACGAGCCGGACTTTGTGACGGGCGAGACTTTAGTGTCAGGCGGAGGTGAGCCGGTGCAGGAGCCGCCGATGGACGTCACTGGAGTTGGCGCGGGTCCCACTGCGGTGCTGCATTGGCACGAGCACACCCCCTTTGGGAAGCGTGAGTCACCAGTGGGGGCCATTGCCAACACGCCGTCGGAGTCACCCGCCGATGCGGCCGCCGGGTTCGTGCCGCGACGCGGCCAGAGTCTGGAAAGCGTCGTGGGCCGGCATGCAGGCAAGAACGAAATCTCCGTCATCCAGCACACCAAGTTGCTCGGCCGCCCCCGCTCATTTGAAAAGGCCGATGCGGGGCGCTCCGGCTGCGTCGTGCTCCGCCAGTCCCTGTCGGCGGACCAAGCCCGAGACAGCGTCACGGTTCGGCAGAACTTCCCTGCGACGGCTGCCAGCGAGAAGGAGGATGGCGGTGCAAAGATGCGTGGGGGCGCGCAGCCCGACCCGCAAGCGCCGCGCAACGGGAGACTCATCCGGCAAAGTAAAATTCCGGAAATCTTGGTGACGGTGGAACCGGACGGCGACCAACAGCAGAACGACTACCTCAAGGAGAAGCCCGGCAAGAAGCGGGATGAAGAGTTCCAGTGGCCGCGGAGGAGCGAGACCCTGGAGAAGCTTCCGGCCGAGAAGCTGCCCCCCAAGAAGAAGCGGCTGCGCCTCTCCGAGCTGGGCAACGCCTCCATTGAGTCGAGCAACGACTCCTCCGTGTCGGCCCCGCTCTCCCGCAGCCCGAGTGCGGACGGCACCCTCTCGCGCTGCTCCAGCCTCTCGTCGGCCTCGCTCGACCACGCCGAGGTGGGTGACGACGAAAAGCCCAAGAAGGAGCCAGCGGAGAAGTCCGGGGAGGAGGGCGCCGCCCTGTTTCTGACCGTGCCGGGCGCGCCGCCTTCCCCGCTCCAGCCGCCCGGCGGGGGGATGCGCCGCACCGCGTCGGAGCACGAGCCGTGCGGCGCGGGCCCCGGGCCACAGGGGGGCCGAAGCAGGTCGTTCGACGACGGGATCCTGTCGGCGCCCTGCGTCCCCGTCGCTGACGGTTTCGGACGAGCGGCCGCGGCGGGAGAGCGCCGGAAGGCGTACCTGGAGCACCTGGCGAGCTTGAACGGACACCCCGAGGCGGCTCGCGCGGCGGCATCTGCTATGGCGGTGGATGGTTATTTGCACCTGCACAGTGCCAAAGAGTACTCCAAGCTGCTGGAGAGTTGCGGTGCCTCACCGGCTGACGTTCAGCAGCAGTCCCAGCGTCAGTTCTTCCGCCGAGAAATCCCACAGCGCATCGGAGCGTATGCTTTGTCTTCGGAGCGTCCAGGATCAAAGCCATATCTGCTGGAGCACGCTTTGACCGTACAGAGACTGGACTCCGAGCTGCACAGGCCAAACCTCCAGTGGGCTCCCCACCATGCCTCCGTTCCGCCGCCATTCCCGCCGCTCCCTCTCACCCACCGTCCCCACACTCAGAACAATCTCCTGCTGTGTCACCAGCAAAAGCAGCACTTTCCCAGGCACGCGTTTCAAAATCCTTTCGAACGCTTTCACTCGGAGAGCTCGTCTCGCCCTCCGGCTTGGCAAGCGAAGGCTGTGCAGCAGGCAGTGCCGAGTCACGTGGCAGACACTCGCTCGATGGGAGCCGTGTCCAAACAGTGGCGATCGACCCCCGTTGACGTTGGCTTGAAAAACCATCGCTCGTCCGACCCCCAGCACACGCCGTCCGCCAACACAACCGCCCCGCACGTGGCGCACGCAGCATTGCCGAGGGCTGACGTGGGGGCGGCCCTCGCGCTGCGGACGTGCGGCCGCGTGTTACAGCCGTCGCCGTTGGCGTCAGCGGTGCCCGTTCGCCGGCCCTCCGTCTTGGAACCCCACCCTGGCCGTGCCATCTTCACGTCGCCGTCTCAGCTCGCCCACCCCCGCCTGTGCCAGCCTGCCGTGGTAGTCTGCCACGTGACCGGTGAGGAGGGAGGCGCCGCTCTGATGGGTTCCTCTGACGAAGCGCCGCAGCGTTCTGCGCGGGCGGCGACGCCGCCGCCGCTGCGCGGCGAGGCTTCCCATCTCGGGGTTTCTGCTTCGGTCTTGCAGAGGGACCAATGCGCCGCACGCCTGGGAGACATCATGCAGGCGGCGCCGCCGGGCTGTCAACTGCTACCTGGTGCCAGCAGCAGGTTGGGTCTCGACAAAGGGGAGGATCGGCCCCGCGGCACCGCCGACCCATCGCCGCGGCGAGGGACTAACGGCGAAGTGAGAAAGCAAGCGGAGCCCCCTCGGCTGAGGAAGCCAGTGCTCGTCCGGCAGTTCTGCACGACGGAGCCCGTGGAACGCGACGGCTCCCCCGCACGCTGCGACGCCGCCGTGAGCGCGTCGCCAGCGTTGTTGCCGGCGGTCCCGGGAGCCCGTCTTGGAGATGTTCAAGGCGCCCCTGCGGACGATGCTCGGACCTCCGAGCTGCCCTCCCAGCAACCCGACGGTCACGGCCTCACGGACACGACGGCCGCACCCTGTCCGCCCCAGGGGCTCGCCACCTCCAAGTCGGCGGTGCAGGTGCGGGTGCTGCTGCCAGCCGGGGCGGCAGCCCACGGGGGCTCCGGCTCTATCACGGTCCCCGTGCTGCAGACGGTGGCCACCCCGAGTCTGCTGGTCCACGTGGGCCCCCGGCCGGGCCTCGCCGTCCTCGTGGCCGACCTGGCCGAGGTTCAGCAGCTGATCCTGCCGGGCCTGCACACGCTCACGCCGGCGTCCTGGTGCCTCCTCAATGCCCGGGCGCGACCAAGCACCGTCGCCGACACCACCACCACCACGACTACGGACGGCAAGGCCTCGGTGTATGGGCCGTGGGAGCCGGCTAAGAGCGGTGACAGCCTCTGCGGTGGCATTCTCCCCGGCGTATCTACGCACGCTGCGCTGGCACTCCTGCGGTCCAGGCAGCGGGCGGGGCCGTCCACCTACAGCACGGCGGGCGCCTGCCCCGCCAACGCCTGCGCCCTCGTCCACTCGGGCTGGTGGAGGAGGCCTCACGTGGCGCAGGTGAGGAATGTGAGCGGCGTGGCGGCGGCGGCGGCAGTGGCGATGCGCACGCGTTTGCGCCGTCGGGGAAAGCGTTTACTTGTTTGGCCCCTCGCGCTGTAAGTGGAATGGGGGTTCTTGCCAAAATCAAGCCCCTGAATCGTGTACAATTGTTTTCTTTATGGAATGATACTTTTAAGAGCTCACGTTAATAATGATCAGAGCAACGCCGCTCCGCCAGGGAGCAGAGCAAGTGCTCGCTGTGCCATGCCGCATGATCTGCCGGAGTGGCCGTGGCGCACAGACCTGCCAGGGCCTGTACAGATCGGTGTGGTGATGGCTCCCTCCCTCTCTCCCTCCCTCCCTCCATCCATCTTCTTCCTCACTTCTCTCCCCATTTTCCCTCACTCAATCCCTTCCTTTCTCAATCCATCTCTCCCTCCTTTGTCACTCAATCCTCCATCCTTGCTTAATCTCTGCCTCATTCCTTCCCAGCTTACTTCCATTCCTCCCTCCTCTTCACTTGCTCAGTGCTTCTTTTACATCCTTCGCAAACTCCCCTCTCTGTGTCACGCTCTATCACGCACTTTCCTCCATCTGTGAGTTTCGACATCTTCTGGGAAAACTGGTTCTTTCCTGAGCTTGTATCAAACCGCTCTTCAGGCCATGTCTCTCTCTCTCTGACCTCTCTCCTCACCTCTCGCTCTCCTCGCTACTCTCTCCTCTGAGCTCTCTCCCTCTTCTCCGCACTCTTCCTCTCTCTCTCCTCCACACCTTTTTTCTCCTCAGCACGCTCTCACTCCCCTCCCCTCTCTCTCTCTCTCCTCACCGCTCAGCTCCTTTGCCTGTGCCTTGGCCTGATGTTCTGTGAATTCAGAACGCGCTCCGGCCGATGCGTGTGTGTGTGTGTGCGTGATGATTTTAAGTGCCTCATTATTCATGTTTGTGCCTTTTTATATACATGTAGGAGTGGGGGCAGGGAAGCAGTGGGCAAGGGGGCGGGGGCACTTTGCCACGTTACATTTTCACATTTACAGTTCGTTGCTGATGAATTCAGTACGGGTGGAGGGGGGAACGGAGGATACAGATGCTGTTTATGAGTGCGGATGATACGACTCTCAGATGCCTCGTCAGTAAGGATGAACAAAACTGGCAGCGTTCTGGACAGTCTGAAAGTACCGTATTATCTGGATCATGAGACCCAATTTCCTGTCCCCCCCTAATCCCCCCCCGATCCCCCATAATTCAAAGCAACAGTTGGGTGTGTGTTTTATGGTAAGGTCGATGTGTGTGTGTGTCACCAGATTTGTGTAACCTTATTGACACTGGGCACATAAGTTTGGGGGTACGTCTGACTTTCCATAGCGTCTTATTATCCAGAGAATATGGTATCTATCTGGGCAGTTCCAGTAGTAAGGTATAGGCGCGCTTGTTCGCATCCGACGGGCCATCCTGGATAATACCGTGGGTGTGTTGACCGTAAATCACGAGCTGTCTGCTTCACAGAGGATGTCAAATATCCCCTGATGTCGTTCGCAAGAGTAGACCGGTGTGCGCCGGCATAATAATCCAAATTTGAAAAGTTACCTTCAGATTATTCAATTGGAGGCCCACACACGCGGTACCATTGCCCCCGACTATGAAGCTAGCGCAGATGGTGTGTCTGTGGAACACAGCGCCTTGGTTATAACAATGGCACGAATAATATACGTACTATGTGATGATTCTAAATTAAGCAGCCTTACCGTTAACATTTCAAAATAATCCTCTTCACACATGTGGGTTGTTAATTAAAGGCAGTTATCTTCAACTTTTGAAAATGTGGCCTATTAACGGGATAGAAATCAGAGCAAAGATAACCTCGCTACGGTAGAAGTCGCAAGCAGCGCAAAAAAACGCGATCGATATTAAATCGGTGCCCCCGCATTGAGTTGTCTTTGCCGTGTCTGGCTTTCGCAGCCAATACCGGCGGTGAAAGTTTGCACCCCACTGGGGAAGCCAACCCCGACCGTCGCGGGCAGCCGCGAGAAGGAGCTGGAGCGAGAGCAAGCGAGGGAGAGCGCGCGGGAGAGCGCGCGGGAGAGGTCGGCGAAGGGTCACCACGACTCTCCGTCGCGCGCTGCTAAACCCGCACTGCCCTGCCGCATCAAGATCTTCGATGGCGGGTGAGAGTTTGCTGCGCGAAGTAGCAGGTGCTATACGGATGCAGTGCAGAAGGCCCAACACGCCAAGTGGCCAGCAAACAAACAGCACTTTTGAAGGTGTAACAGATAAGGGTGAACATGTCTCTGGAGATAAAATAATCTGTGTGGTAGAACGAGACCTCGACATGGACCGAGGAATGGAAGCCGTGGTAGTAGCAATAGAAGAGTGATATGGAGGTGACTGACCCACCGATGCGCGAGTGACTGGAGTGAAACGTTGGGTGTGCGGAACTCGTTCGTTCCATCAGGCTGACCGTTTCATCTCGTCCGTACTGTGTTCAACCACCACGCTCACAAACGGCACTTGCCCCAACAGCATGCAAAGGCTATATGGGCGACCTTTGTCTTTGTATACGTGTCATTACGTGTTTGCTATCATTCTCACGTCAGTCGACACTCTGGTGGACACTGTTGCAAATGCGGCACCGCGGTGGCGAGATGTTAACTCACTTGCCTGATATACAGGAGGTCGTGGGTTCAATCCCGACCCTGATGCCTGTTGTAATGTTCTCCCCATGGTCGCGTGAATTTTTCTCCGATTTTTCCCTCCCACTTTTAGAGTCAACGTGCGTCAACATGATGAATACATTTCCATGTGATAAGCCCCTTCGTTGAGCTATTATTTGTGATAGCCAGGTTGCTTCTAAAAAAAGAGCTACGTAGCTCAGTGGGCCTTACCTAGTAAAAAAAAGAGAATACAAAAAAAGAGTGCATCATTTAAAAATAAATAACAGGTAAACAAAGCAACAGCTGCTGTTGAAGTTTGCTCACCGTTTGCCAATGTTACAGCTTTGGGCCTGGCGTTTCAGCAAATGGTTAATTTGGGCGACGGCAATTCGTACACAACAACAAAAAGAGGTTGGCGGTTGTTCAGGTGCGAGCGGCCGACGGTTATCGATTGGGGCGCAAGCCACGGTGGAGACGCCGGATGAGCCGCTTTGTAAATCCTGGCATTATCTCTTGGCGTTTTAATGCCTTCACACGGCTGTCGTTCGGTCACGCGCCGCATCTTTTCCACGGTTACATTTTCCCGGTTGGAATGTAACCAGACTTCAGAGCGTATTTCTCTGTTTGAGGTGGTGGAATACCAACTTTTTATTTTACATAAGAGAGCGATTTGAATGTTCGTTCATGAAGATATTTTAAAGATGCTGGCATTTCAGTCATCGTGCTTGAGTTGCTGATGGTGTGGTAGTGGTGCCTGCCTGTAATCCAGCACTGCGGAGGCAGCGAGGGTTGGTGGATCGCACAAATGTTCCGGTGAGACACGACAGCAAGCGCAGTGTGTGGAGGGACGGTGTTGCGGGAATGTGGTGGTGAGACGGTGTGGTGGGACGGCGTTGCGTGCGGCGTACGGTGTGGTGGGTCGCGGCGAGAGGTGGCGGGGCTCCATAAAACATCGCATCGAGTGGCAGGTGAAACGGCCGCATGTTTTGTTTCCATAATCACGAGTGGTTGGTTGGGGGGGGGGTGTTTGGGCCTAGTGAGAAAGCCTAACGAGTCCTCGTGGGATGGAGCCTTCCTCCGTGTCGTCTGCGACGCTGGTTTCTGGCTTTCACGAGTCAATTAGCAGTTTCGCTTCGCCGCTAATTCGGGCATGAGCCGACTGGAGACAAGACGAAATGGTGGCGCGTCGCCAGGGGCGGAGCCAGGATTTTCAGCCCGGGGTGACATTCAACAAATTTTAATTTCAAGAATGATTTAGAGAGTCAGGCTTGTTGAACTAGACGCCATCGGTTGGCGACACACTCTGACAATGCAGTTGCACGGAGTCCGCCAGACCGAGTGTCGTACACTTATACGCAGAACGTTTCAGATTTTCGATTTTTTATTGTTTTTCGGGGGTGACAATTGTCTACCCTGTCACCCCCCTGGCTCCGCCCCTGCGCATCGGGCTGAGTTGATTGCGTGAGGCCGTCCGTTCGTTTAATCGAGTTTTCCTTATTTTATTTTTTAAGCGGTGGCGTCACCCCGCGTCAGAGAACGGCCCGTGGAAGATGCTGTCACGAACTACTCCTGAAGTCGCTTCATTCGGCCCCCTTATGCACACTTGGGGCGCATCTGTCATATACGCCCTGTCGCGCGTCAATCAAAACAAAGCCGTTAATAATTATTTTTCCGGAGTTAATACATTTTTGGTACATGTGCATAATGCATACTTGATGGATTTTGTTGTTGTTCATTTATTGGTGATTGGGATCAGACCGTCAACTTGCAAAGCTCGAATCACGACCGGTATCACCCTGTGGGGGCGTGTGGCATCGCGAGGACCTGGGGTTTGAGAATTGCCGCTTTAACGCAATCACATCGCTCAGAAGCTTCGACTCCATGGCCATAGTGGTTGCGCCGGTGGTGGTGGAGGCGGTGGCGGTGGTGGTGGCAACAGTAATGGTGGTGGTTGCGCCGGTGGTGGTGGAGGCGGCGGTGGTGGTGGCGACAGTAATGGTGGTGGTTGCGCTGGTGGTGGTGGTGGCGACAGTAATGGTGGTGGATGCGCTGGTGGTGGCGGAGGCGGTGGTGGTGGTGGTGGCGACAGTAACGGTGGTGGCGGAGGCGGTGGTATTGGTGGCGGCGGTCACGGTGGTGGCGGAGGCGGTGGCGGTGGTGGCGGCCGGGCCTTCAGAGACAATGACTGTGGTTGCGGTTGCCGTTGTCGTGGCGACGCCGGCAGGTACAAGTCGAACGAGGAGTACGTGTACGTGCGGGGCCGCGGGCGAGGCAAGTACGTGTGCGAGGAGTGCGGCATCCGCTGCAAGAAGCCCAGCATGCTGCGGAAGCACATCCGCTCGCACTCCGACCTCCGACCTTACCGTTGCCACATCTGCAGCTTCGCCTTCAAGACTAAAGGTATCGAGGTGGGGGACAGGTGGGATCCCTGAGGGCACCGTGCGATCTCTAACGACGGTCGCCTTGCTTTGCCGATAAGACTCGGACGGTGGTGGCACTGTTTTTGAGTGCTCGGCTTGGGCTTGGACTCAGACTTTATTGTTTCAGCTGCTAAAAGGCCCCATTGAGTAGCTCTGTCGCAAGGACAGCCACAGCTCAAGGCCGTTGGCAGTGGCGGCGGTTCCAGGACACTGCGTGGAGGGAATGTGCAAGCGAACCAGAGCAAAAACAACAAATGCACGAAATCCGGGCCAAAACGTACCGCAAACTCGAAGTCTCACGGGGTTAGCGAGCACCTGTGTAGCGCGATGATGAAAAGAGGCAGCGGCTAGAGAATGGCTTATTTAGCACACAGTGTGCAGTGGATCGGAAATGTGCCATACATATCAGCACTGCGGTGCCAATTAACGCAGCCTCGAGGTGCTTAAACGCTTTTAGGAATCTGGCGTAGATAAATTGCGGCATTCCAGCGCGGAACCTTGCAAATGCGTGCCTGGCCAGCTATCGGGGGTGCGCAGGCGCTGCAATTGCACCAGGGCTGATGGGCTGGAGATGGAGGGTGGGAGGGAGGACCCAGGTGTCCCGGGAAATGCATCTGGGAGGAAATTGAACATGAGGGCCTCAATTTCATTCCTTGCACAAGGGCCCATGCCAAGCACGCTACGCCACTGCTCAGAGAAGTATAATCCAGTCCAGGTTTTTGGTCTGCTGTTTGCCCGCTGGAATGCTGCTGCTGCTGCTCCTGCTGTAGCTGCTACTGCTGCTGTTGTAAATGACCATTCGCGGACAGCCCCCTTGTTTCAATCCCCTGCTGCATGAGGGCCTCACCACTCCTTGCGGCTCGTGGGAATTGTTTAACCGTACTTCACCGCGGCTCGGCGCAGGCAGCACAGCGTGGCGATCGCTGCCACCACCGCTCCCCGTCTGTGAATTTTTATGCGTGAACCACTGCACATAGGCAAAGGCAAAGATCCCCCGTAAAGTCTTTAACAGACTGTTGGAGCAAGTGCTGTCAGCGAGTAGCAGCTATGAAGGTCGGAACTGCACGCGACGGGCGGTGGGTGAGCCAGCAACACGCCCGGCCACTTTTGTTTCCCCCGTAGCGGTGTTTGCACATCGCACCAGGTACTCATTTGAGGCTGAGTCGACCTAGGGGAGGCCCAGCACCGATTCAAATAACTGCCACTGGTGTTGGCAGCGAGCGGGAATCGAACTCGGTTCGCCGGGTTCGTAGCGCGGCGCGCTGACCGTTGCGCCACCGTTCCCCACGTAAACACACGCACGCACTCATGCAGAGCACGCGCACACGGAATGCACGCTTCTGCATTGGAATAAACCGCTTCCCCCGTCTTGCCTGACGGGCTGGTTGCCCCTGTGCTCAGACGACGGTGACGTCCCTCTTATCCAGCCGCCGTCATCCCCACCCCGGTCTCCCCACACCCTCCCACCGAACACAGCTCGCCCTTTCACGCTTAAACAATCAACGGGTGCAAGCGGTGGTTTCCGTGCATTATTTTAGGATGCCGTGGTGGCCAGCGTGGAGGTGACCCCCGCCACCGTGCTGCGGGTTAGAGGTCGCGTGGTGGCCGCGAGGGTCGAGGCACAGGGCACTGCTTGAACCAACGTGGCTGGCAGCCGTGCAGACCACGCAGCGACGCACACCAACGTAACTACCCAGACCGTCACGGCCACTCGGGTGGCCGTGACGGCCACACAAAACTAAAATATTTAACAATTTTATTTAATTTACCAGGTAAGGCCCACTAAGCTACTTAGGTACTTTTCAGAAGCGACCTCGCTATCACAAATGATAGGGCGACGAAGTGGCTTACCGTCGTGTGGAAATTTATAGCTAGCCAAATGCTGTAAACGCACGTTGATTCTAAATGCGGAGGGAAAAACCGGAGGATCCGGAGAAAAATCCATGCGATCACGGGGAGAACAACTCCAAATATACAGGCGGTAGGGTCTGGATGAAACCCATGACAACATGTTTACCAGGTGAGGTAGTTTACATCTTGTCACGGCCACTGAGACCGCCACAGTCACCAGACCAATGCAGCAATGGTGAGCGCCATGGACACATTTTTCGAGCTGCCCCCCGTCAGCTTTCCAGCACAACATTGTCTTGAAGCTCGTTAGTAAGGCTGCTAATTATATTAAGGCTCTTAGAATAGGCTGATTCCCAGTAAAACCTCCCGAGATGATGCTAAGCTTTTATTTTTCCAAGGTTCACTCTGCTCAGAATTCCCTTCAGCTTCAGGGCTCAGTCGGAGTTTATCCCAGTTGTGCTGCGAGCCCTCTGTGCTGCTGCTTCAAGACATCCTTCGCGAGCTGTTGCTTCGGACGGATGGACGGACAGAGAGGGAGTGAGGAAGGAAGCGAGGGCAGGAGGCAGCGAGGGAGCAATGGACAGGAAGATGGGAAAATGGATGAACAGATGGGATAATGGAGAGATGAGATGTTACGAGGACAGATAGAAGGGCGGTGGGTAGGCGGACAGATGGACTGACTAGTGGCTGGATGGACAGAATAATGGATGAACATGTGACCAGAATGAAGGATGGATGTACAAAATGGATGGAATGATGATGGGTGAATGGATGAATGCATGGGATGATGGTTGGACAGATGGACAAAGGGATGGAGGGATTGACAAACACATAGACGGAGCACACAAATGGATAGATGAACTAGTGGATGGAATGACGGATGGACAGAGAGATTGACAGAATGGTAAACTGATGTACTGATGAATAATGGATGGATTGATAGGGACATATTGATTGATCGATGGAGAGAGGAACAGTCGGTGAGAGGAATGGTCAGACAGATAGATGGACTGCAAGATTGTGGATGGAAAGATATACAGAGAGACAAATGGACTGACAGATAAAGGAAGGACGGACGGACTGACGGAGTGATGGACGGACGAACTGACGGATGGACGCTGCGCAGGGAATTATTTTGCCGGCCCGTGTCTGTGAGCAGGGTCATCTTGACCGCAGGACGCACCCGAGGCGGTGACGAAGGAACCCCGTGGGGGAGAGCGAGCGCCGTGGCAAGAAGGGCTTCGGGCCGCAATATGGCCACTCACCTGCACGGCTTCGCCCAGATGGGAATGCCTCTGCAGCGCCAGTGGAATTTTAACGAGCTCATTTTTGTGTAATTCTGTTGGAACTCGCTTACCGTCTAATGATTACAGCTAATGAAGCGTTGGCTGCTTCTGTTGTATTTTTAACTTCACTAGGTGGCTTTGATTAGAGTTCTGGGCAGTGAGAGGTTGGCTTTTTTTATTTTACACAACTGCAGTTAATCAACAGAGCCCCTTGTTTGGTACCTCGCGTCCGGCCTGGGTGCTGTGTTGGCAGATCAGTGGCGAAACGGCTCAGTAAAGAGAGGAGAGGGACAACAATCGTGAGAGTAATTTAAACTTTGTAGGGCGCCACCGAGAAGCGAGAGAATGACTCGAGAGGAGGAGCCACAGAAAAGCGAAAAGGCAGCCAGGCGATGAGCCACTCCTGCCAATAATTCCCCAAGCTTTAGCGGTTCTCTATATATTGAGATGTCTTCAGCTAATTATACATTGGGGGGGGGGGGAAGCCATAGTACCCGCCGCCACGTGTCGATTCGGCGCGATGCCCGACGTTTCGTTCCGCGTGCCGGGAGCGTCTTTGGGAATTGTTAAATTGCAGGATTTGGGTTCCTTGAAGAAGAAGCTGCCAGGGAGCGTCCTGGAGCGGAACGTCAGACTTCGCGCCGAAGGCCGCACGCGGTCGGCGCAACCCCCGAATACGCGTCGGGAGAGCTACGCGGACGGCGCCGCTGCGAAAGGCCGACGGGGTGGTGACGCCGCTTCTGTTTCCCCCCAGGGAACCTCACCAAGCACGTCAAGTCCAAAGCTCACAGCAAGAAGTGCCTGGAGATGGGAATGAGCGCAATGATGGGAGACGACCCCGGGGAGCAAGGTGAGGCGGAGAGGGGGGGGGGAGTTAGCCCCCACTCGTACCCCATCATACTTTCCTACAGTCCCTAACACCCCTGATGTTATCCCCTTCACATCCTCTCACAACCCCTCCTGACTGTCTCGAGCGACTCTTGTGTCCCAGAAATTTGAGGGGTGCGTGGACCAAAGGAAATATCGATGGCAGCTTGGATGGATACATTTCATCATCATCATCAGCAGCAGCGATTATCTAACCACTGCTGGATGAAAGTCTCTCCCCATGCCGTCAGAATCCCCACCGCAGTCTCTCCACGTAACAATCTTGCCTGTAGCTCCGTCTCCACAGTGAGCGTCGTCTTGGGCGTTGTTCTCTGTTGTTCGGCTCGACTGAAAATCAAAAGCAGAAACGTCTTTAATTTAAGCAGGAAGGCCTCGATTGAGCCGGCGAGGGCAGCGAGGAATTGGCCACAAAGAAAAAAGCCAGTTTCAATTTGCAGTCGACCAAGCGACGCCATCAACTCATGGATCGTCTTACAATATCTAATATCTGTCAATCTGATGTTTGTCACCTGACCTTCGTCCCGGCTCCCAGTCTTCCTTCTCCTTCCCCCCCGCCAGCCGGCAAAGACGGCGGCGCAGTTTTGCCGACAACGGCTGCCGAGATTGAGACCCCCGCATCCTCCCCAGGGTGGCCCTCGTTTCTGCTGATGGTTCCAGGTTACTTCCACAGGCTTCTTCTTTCTGTTACGTAAGGCCCGGCGGCCTCCGGGGGGGGGGGGGGGGGGGGGGGGACATGGCTTCTTGGCTAAGTCCTCATCGCCACGTGTGACTTGGTTGGACAGCAACATGGGGTGCAGTGGAGGGGGAGCGCTGGTTCAACTCGGCAGATACAAACTATTACTACAACTATATTCATATTCTTAGCTCTTTTGGTAAAGTCACGTTGAAGGGAAACAATAAAATAATACAATATATATGAAACAATAAAAATTCTCACGATGTTTCGACCATAACACAAACGGTCATTATCAGGTGTGTCGGTTTGCATTTATTTATTTTTAAACGGTGTATTTATTTATTTATAATAAAAAAACAGAGGTTCTTTGTAAGCCATCTGGCTACCATGAGAGATTCGTTCATGAGGCTATCCACATATACAAGCACAGAGACAATTTCAACCGAGAAGATGGATTCTGGCTTAGCAATCATTGGAAAGATTTGATTAACCATTTCAGGTCTTAATTGATTGTTCACGCTTACAGTGGCTTTCAGACAGCATACATTAATTTTTCCTCTCCCCCCTCCTCTTTTCAGAACATAGATGGACCAGTCCTTCTAAATAAACTGCCAAATCGCTGCGCGTGGCGCTGACGTTTTTTAAAAAATAAATACATACACCGTTTAAAAATAAATTAATTGATGCAAACCGACACACCTGATGACGACCATTTGTGTTATGGTCGAAACGTCGTGAGAATTTTTATTGTTTCATATATATTTTATTATTTAATTGCTTCCCTTCAATGTGACTTTACCAAAAGAGCTAAGAATATGAATTACTGCAGTCACGAAAGCTTTAAATCAAAATATTACTACAACTGTTTTTATTTTACCAGGTAAGGCCCACTGAGCTATGTAGCTATCTTTCAGAAGCGACCTGGCCGCAATTGATAGCTCAACTAAGTGGCTTATCACCTGGCAATGTATCGCAGCCAAATACTCTAAATGCGTGATGTTGATTCTAAATGTGGAGGGAAAAACTGGAGGACCTGGAGAACAATCTGTGCGACCACGGGGAGAGAAACATGCAAACTCCAAATTCTAAATGTGGAGGGAAAAACTGGAGGACCTGGAGAACAATCTGTGCGACCACGGGGAGAGAAACATGCAAACTCCAAATATACAAGCGTCAGGGTCGGGAACGAACCCACTGCCTCCCGTATAAGCAAGATAAGCAATTAAAACTAAAGGTTCTGGCTTCCAAGAAGTCCAAGAGGGCCCTGGGTTCATTAAATACATCAAGGTTCAGCTCTAAACTCATAGCCTCGAAAAAAGATCGCCAAATTACCAACCTGTCTAACTTCTATCGCGACTTGCTTTTCTCTTTTTCTCTCGTCCTTTTTCGTCTCCGTTTGCCCGCACCTCGCTGCATCTGTGCCTCTTGCTCTCTGCATGCAGAGTGGGGGGGGGGGGGGGGGAGGGGGGGGACTGCCCCCTCTGTGCGAACCAGAAGCCACGTTGAAGGGATCCGAGAAGTAGTTCTGCGATATCCGCTGGGCCGTTGTCGAACGAAACTGTCCGCGACGCTCTCTCCCTCTCTCTCCTTCTCTCTGTGAGAGTTCGGAGTGGATTCCTCGTCTCGTGACGCGGCGCTCACAGCACAATCGGGGTCACATTGGGGTGGGGGCGGAAACTGCAGATGTAGAGAGATTCTTGGTTGTTATTGTGACCCTCAACCGAGGCAATTCGTTGAATCACAGGGGGGGTGGGGGGCGGCGGTGGGTGGGGGGTTAAGAGGGCGGTGGTGTGGAGGAGAAATGTTCTGGCAGGGGATGTGGAAGTGTTTTTCATTGCAAGGCCCGCGAGACCACTACGGCTCCCTGGTGGCCTTTAGCGCGATCCCTGATGCGCCCCTATCATTGCGCTGCTGTGAAACCCCCAATGGGTTTTAAATGTGCGGCGGCCCTCACACACCGATGATGTCTCATCGGCGAAAGCAGGCTCCCCCCTGAAAGTGAGTGAAGACCATTGGGTTAGGGTGGTGGGTAGCGAATCGTTTTATCTTCCCCGCCAATCCTTGCCCACTGACCCGATAGACACCGGGTCCTCGCTTCATCTGTGAAACGTGGCTTATTTTGGTTTGCCTGGCGCTCGGAGATCCATCCACGTGGCCGCGAATCCGTCCACGCGGAGCAAGCAGTGGCGAGTTGTTAACTACCTCGCCCGGTGTACAAGATGCCTGGGTTCGATCCCGACCCTGACGCATGTATATGTGGAGTTTGCACGCTCTCTCTCACTCTCTCTCTCCCCGTGTTCGCGCGGATTCTTCTCCGGGTCCTCCGGTTTGTTTCCCCCTTCTGTAAATTTCCACGTGATTGGCCACTTCGTTGAGCTTATCATTTGTGGCCAGGTCGCTTCTGAACAAAAAAAAAGAGCCGTATAGCCCAGTGGGGCCTCACCCGGTGAAATGAAACGCTCCTGGCCGTGAAAGTTTCTTTGTAGCAGTTTTACGTTGCCCGCGAAGTGAGCCGAAGGGGGCTTGCTCGGTTTTTTTTTTGCGGCCGTGTGGCGCCACCTCCTGGCGACGTTCCGCCGCTGCGGCTGCCTCGCGATGACCCCCCCCCCCCACACTTTTCCTCGTGCGACGGGCGAAACGTTCGCTGCTTCCGCCTCAATGAAGCCGCCCGTTGCTTTCGAACGATGGCGAGGCAGCCAACGACAAAAAAACAGCAACAAGAAAAAAAAGCAGAGAACGCGTCCAAGAGGACAACCAACCGCGGAGACAGAACGACGAGATGAGTTCATCATCTCAGACGCCTCGGTGTTCTGGTACCTTCAGAGGCACTGGAGGGAGGCGCCGGCGTAATTAATGATGATGACGACGATGACGACGACGATAATGACGGCGATGACGACGCCGACGATGATGACGACAATGATGACGACGATGATGACGACGATGAGGGTTCTTGTCTGCGTCTGTCTCCCGTCTCGTGAAATGCGCAGATCCGGAGTGGCAGCCGTCTCCAGGAGCCAGGGAGGATCACCAGTTTTCCGATGCCGACGACTCGGATCGAGATCGCGACGACGACGACGATGACGACGACGAAGACGACGAGGACGATAACGACGAAGGATTGGCGGCTCTCGCGGCGCTCAGATCCGACGGGAACCTCGGGAGCGCTTCTCCTCTGGGCAGCTGGGAGCCGTGTGGGACTGGAGAACCCGGGGCCCGTTCCGCCGGAGGATGGCCGAGCACCGCCGACGCCGCCTTCGACGACGACGACGAAGTCGCCCGCCTGACGCTGAGGCTGCGAGCATCACTCCACGGCGCCGCCTCCATCTCCGCCGCGCATCCCTCTCCTCCGCCGCGGCACGATGCGGCGCCCGCTTTCGCGGTGACGCCCGGCGGAAGCTCGCCATCGCAATGCTCGAGGGCACTCCTGGGTCGCTCTCTCGCCGGCGGAGGCACGAGGTCGCCACCGTACGACGCGCCGGGCCGCGGCGCGCGGCCCGGCAAGGGAGCGCCGCTGGCGCCGTCTCCAAATCGCCTCGGCGTTCTGCTCGAGCGCGCGATGCGGGACCGGCCTCGCCTCGCCGGGGGCTGCTCGCCGAGCCGGCCGCGGGCGGTGCCGCGCGACGGCTCGCCTGCCCCCGGTCGGCACGGCGCGTTCCGGACGCACTCGCTGTCGCCGTACCGGCGCGACGTGGCGAGGGATAGGCCCCCGTCCCCCGGCGGCGCAGGCCGCACCCACTCGCTCTCGCCGCACAGAGGCGGCGCGGCCCGGCTCACCGACGACCCCGCGGTTGTGGCGGCGGCGCCTCCTCCCGCCACGGCACGATCCCCGCCGGCGCTTGCCGTGCGCGGTGCTGGCGGCGGGCGGGCGGACCCGCTGGTCTCCGCGGCTCCGCGGCCGCAGCAGCCTCCGTTCGCAGACGCCGCCCGCTGTGGCCTGACGGCTTCCGCGCAGCATCCTGGGAGTTTGGCCGGAGACCCCCCGGGGAGTAAAGGAAGAGGCTCCTTGTACGAGGAGCAGGCCGCCCAGTGCTACGCTGCCGTGAGTTTTGTTTCTGGGTTGTTGATTTTGGTTAATTTTTTCGTGTGTCTTTTTATTCCTCTGATTTGAGAATCAGGATCTTTATTTAGCCTCGAGGAATCTGATGAGCTATGAAGCTCTTTTTCACAGATGTCCAGTATGGGCGGGTCAGAGACCCCTCGTCAAAATGCAATCCCCAATGAAGAGTCATCGGGGACTGGGCTGATACCATCAATTCGTTATACGAGTTTAATCGCGATGCGACTGATGCCCAGAATCAAATTCTGCACCTCGGCATTGCCGACTCAGTGCTCCGAGAATAACACAACCACATTCACTCCAGCCGGTAACGATTTTAATCGTACGCCTAACCAACGCGTGAGCATTAAACGCTCGGTGCGTTCTTCCAACAAACCTCCACCGTCTCGTTCGCAGGTCGGGCCCACGTCCGGCAACGGCGCCCATGCGCAGCCCCCGGACGATCGCCACTTCGGCGCCACCCCCGGTGGTCCCGCCCGGCCCTTCCCGAGCAAGCCGCGCCAACTCTCGACCCGCCTCCTGCAGCTGCCGAAAGCGCTGCCGCACGCGGTGGCCGTGGTCGGCAGCGTCCACATGATCGACATGAGCAGGGTGGCCCGGGCCGCCGGCTCCACCTCCTCCTTCTCCTCCTCCTCCCTCGACGAAGAGGCCGCGGTGGCGTTCGCCCCCGAGCGCCTGGCCGAGCCGTCGTTCGCCGGCGCCCCCCGCCGCCGCCACCGCGGGACGCCGCCCCCGGTCGCGGGCGTCGTGACGAGCACGGCGCCCGACTGCCCGGACACGTTCGCGTTCGGCTCGGGGCACGCCGCCGTCCGCTTCCGGGCCGAGCCTCCGGAGTTTTGCGCGGCGGCGGCGGCGGCGGCGAGGAGCGGAGGGACGACGGCGACGGGGAGGGGTGGAGGCGACCCCTGCGAGCTGGCGGCGCTGCCTCTGTCCGTCTCGTGCTCCGTGGTGGAGGCGGTGCCCCCGAGGCCGCGCCGGACGGAGGAAAGCGGAGTGCACGGTTCCGGACGGAGGCCCCTGCCGGTCAGCGCCGGGGTTTCGGAGACGGCGGCGACGACGTGACCGGGGGAACGGGGGGGGGGGGGGTTGGCTGTGAGACCTCTCACCGGATATTTTTCCGGCTCGTTGGTGCCCGTTAGAATGGAGCGGGCGCGTGACTCGCAGCGAGAGGCGTTATCGATGCGGTGTGCCGGGGGGCGCGGAATTATTTTTGAGGTTGCCGTCACCGGACCAATCGGGCCGAAACGAATCCCTGGACGTAACATTCCACCTCGTTGAGCTCACGACGCCGGTTCGCATCGCAAGTGACGGTGAACTTTGAAACCGTAATGGACAATGCAACATGCACCAGGAGGATCTGATAGAGTTAGTGACGTCATTCATTCACGCATTTCGGAGTTCTGTTTTGTAATTCCCCCAACTGTGCCATCGCGGTCACGTCTTGAGACAAAATATCAATTTGCATCTCTCATAGAGAAGTGCAACCTCTTCATTTTAGGGAGTGGCCCACTGTGGAAGTGGATACCACAGAGCTATGTCTGAGATACCTACAAATGGACCCTTGTTTCACAGAGTAGGGGGCAGCACTCTCCGATCTGCACTACACATGAGTAATATTCGTCGCATGGCAGTCGACGCCACCTTCCACGACGGTTTTTGGTGACCGGGCTAACACCATCCAGTCACTCCACTTGAATCCTGGTTTAATCACAGACGGCTGCCTGGATTTGACCCCAGGATCTCAGCTTCGCCAGCTCACTCCTCGAACCTCCGAGCCACTCGGCCACCTCAAGCGTTGTTTTCTTTTAAATAATAATAATAAAGTTGACAATGATACACAACCGGTCAGCACGGTTGACTATGTACGGTGCGAAAGAAGTTCAACATGCATACGTGCCGGCCTTCATAAGCGCTCGCTAACAACACGCGAACCTCATCAATTCAGCTGGTGTGTGCCATTCACCGTTGCCGCGCGGTGTCGCTCTCCGTCCTGCCGTGCCTGTGGTGCCCACGAAGAATCCCAAATGTCTTGCCCTGCATGCGTTGGTCTCCGCATCTATCCTCTCCTCGTGCCGCTCCACCAACAATGCGCGTTCCGAGCGCTGGCGTCCGTCGCGTGCGAGAGATATTTTTTGGGACGTGCGGCTCGAGGGGACGAGGAGATGGAACGCTGCCGGTGAACCGTGCTTGAGGGCCCAACAAACACCACCAGGGCCGCACAGATGAGGGAAGTGAAAGGAGGATTTTGCCACAGGCCTCAAACAAAAAAAAAGCTCAAACCACGGGACTATTTGTTTTTTTGCGAAAGAATAAGGGGCAGCCCCAACATGGCATTCTCACCCTGGGGCCCTCCAAGCCCAGGCTTTCAGGAACCTCCGATTAGCACGGCGTGAAAAGAAGTTTAACATACGTACGACCTCTGAGCGCCACCGGTCACTGCCGTAAACCTTCCGGGAGGATTCTTTCAAATGAGGAATAACGACGATTCCTTTTTATTGGTCTCGTTTCGCATTTCATTCCTCTTGCTTGTGATGGCCTTGCGCGTCGACCGCTTGGTGTGGGGGGCAGGTGTGGTTCGAGCCCCCCACCCTGCCTGCCGCTAGCGGGGAAAGGGAACTTTACCCCGTGACGCCAGCTGGGGGAAAAGTGAGTTAACGAGCAACACAAAGCTTCTCTGCACAGCGTGGTGCGTTTACAGCACTTGCGTGGCCGTCAAGTTTGTGCAACGCGACCGTGTAAGATTTACTGGCTGCCACTAAAAGGAGGTGGAAATCGGTAATTGCCGCTTGTAAATGTCACCATCAGTGGTGGGTGTGTGGCGTGGTGTGTGTGTGAGAGAAGAGGTGGTGGAGCGGTCGTGTAGCGGTCAGGGCGCTGCTCTATGAAGCCGACCACCCGAGTTCGATTCCCGCTCACGGCCAACAGCAGTGACGATTATCTGAACCGGTTTTGGGCCTCCACCCCTAGGTCGACTCGGCCTCAAATGAGTACCTCGTGTGTCGTGTGTCAAAACATCACCGCTGGGGAGACAAAGGCAGTAGGGCGTGGTGCTGGCCACCCACCCCCTCGTGTGCCGTGCCGGCCTTCATAGGTGCTCGCTAACAGCACTTGCCCCTACAGTCTGTTAAGGCTACACGGGGGGATCTTTGTCTTTGGACACGGGTGAGTGTAATGTTCCGGAGCCGCGTGCGCGCGAACGAGCGTGCGATCTGCGTGAGTTTGTTTATTTTTTGTGTGTGTTCCTTACGAGGGGTTAAGGGAGAGAACATTGGGCAGTTAAAGCCGTTGAATGCCGCGAGACGGGAAGGTGTGAGCGGGCGCGATAGGCGTGACGGCGTGCGATGGTGGGACGCCGCTGCGCCCGTGTCGCTTACGCAAACGCGTTCAGACTCAAAGGTGTCCTCTTGTTTTGTTGGCATTATTGTGACTTGCAGGAATTCTTTCTTCGTGTTTTTTTTTAAAGTGTCACGCTGAGCTGCGTGACGTTCCAGTGACTTTGAACATCCGAGGCCGGTTGCTTAAACACCCTGAAGTGATATGTTTTCCTCTCTTCGAGAGGAAACACATTTTATTTGGTGATGTTGCTGCAGCAGTGGTGCACAAGCACAAATAACAAAAAAAAACTAAACACGTTTTTCCAATAACACTGCGAACTTAAAAGGAAAAATTATATAGTAGGCGACGTTTCAGACAATGGCCCTTCTTCATTTCATTTAAACGCGATGAATAAGCGCCGGTGCGTCCGCGTGTTCTTTTTCAGTGTATTCATGGCATTGTTCTTGACGAATGTGAGTTTCTATTATCTGAAGGGCAGGGTGTCTGTGCGCCACGTACGTGCCCCCTTACCCCCCAACCCACTTCCCCTCCCGCTTCTTTCCCGGTGAGTGTAACGATTCACCGGCGCACTTTTGTGGCAAATGATTGCCGGCAATCGACACCGGCAAGCGAGCGGTGAAGGAGGAACTTTGCGTCGATCGCGATTGCACAGCCGGGTGCGCGTTCCCACATTGCCTGCGACCTGCGCGCCAGCCAAGTCCGATGAGTGCGCTTGGCCACGTGCGGTGCGAAAGAATCTCGACGTACGGCACCGCGTACAGGTCGCACGCGAGGAAGCTCAGCGGTGATGGCTGCTTGGCGGGTGCGGGGAGAAAAGCGACGGAGCTCTTGACGGAGCTACCCCGGCACCCACCCGAGCGGCAGACGTCCGCTGAGGCTTTATCGTGCACGCGCGCGTGTGAGGTGCGGGGAGCGGTGACGTGGCGGTCAGCGCATCGGCGCTCGGAGAAAAAAAACCCGGGTTCGATTCCCGTTGCCGGTGGTGAATATTTAAATCGCTCCTGGGACCTTCCACAAGGTGAACTCGGCCTTAAAATTAGTACGTGGTGTGGAGACAAAGGCGGCCTGGGGTGGCGGTAGCCACCTAATCCCCTCGTGTATGCCGTTCCGGCCTGCTCGCTAATAGCACTTAGCTCAACAGTCTGCTCAAGGCTATACGGGAGGGATCTTTGTCTTTTGTTTGTCTTTTGTGATATGCACTAGAGGCTTGGCACACAACGCTGTGGTGAGGTCACCACCCTCGAGTGGAGACTGATGTCGGGGTTGCACGCTGCTTGTGACGTGATGCTATTTGTACCGTAGAGCAACGTGTGCTGTTGCTTTGTGACAAACGGCATGGATAAGCGATGGTGTCTCTACGATTGAATGTAAAGCCCTGCTGGAGCTAGCCTACGGTTGCCACCTCATGGGTACAATAACGACCGGGGTGGGGGGGGGGATAGGGGGGGATAGGGGGGGACATCACACGGGAAAGAAGAAACATCCGGCGTTAATCTTTATTGAGTGGGTGTCTTAATCGCGCAACCGACACACACAAAAACCACGACGACTTTTCATCTCCCGGAAGGAGTTCTAACACGTAGGCTTTCGCGAGCAATATTATTTCTGGCAAATCGCCTGATGAAGCTGGTTGTAAACACCAGCCAAACATCGTAGTCGAATTGTGAATGTTGTGGGTTCACTCTCCCAACACACAACCGGCGTGCTGAAATCGTAACTCGCTGGCGCGTCCTGTTCGCTCGACAAACCTTACCGATTGGCTGCGTAGGGTGGTGGGCGCTGGCTTTAACAACGACACATTTACATTCACGCGATCTCCCGGAAGGATTTTTTTTCGCAGCTTCTCCAGCATATTTGCGAACACTCGACCAGGACAGGTGGCAACCCTAGGTGGAGTGCGGGATGGAGAGTTGGTGGGTCACCCCTCCCCCTGATGCTGTGCGTCCTGTGGGGGCTCCAAGCAGTGGGTCACCTGTGTGTGTGTTTGCGGGCGTGAGGCAAGAGGGAGGCGCTGGGCGCTGCCAGCTCGCCAACGTTTTGTCCCGCAGTTATGGTAGAATTTGTTTTTTTAAATAGTAACAGTTATTACAAATAAAGCTAGATAGACACCTTCATTTTATATACTTAAATAGAGCTATATATATGTGCCTGTATAATAAGCAAATGCACAAGGGTGCCGCAGATATTGCACTGAACACACGGATTTGTAAAATCGACGACGATGTCCTCTCTTGTGTTCACCACATTCATCTACGAGTGGGATTTTGGGGAGTTGTAATTGGCTGCAAATGCACGTGACTTCACCCCACTAGTGACGTCAAAATGAAATGACCCCGGCTTGACCCTGGCGTGTCCTCTCCAACGTGACCCCCCCCCCCTCCTCCCACGTGACCCCGATATGACCGTGTGTGACCCCGGCTGCTTCGAATCGACTGAAACGCGAGAAATACAAATCGCTCGGTGCAACGTTTTTTGGTATTGGGTGTCAAATATTTTCCTGACATGTAAAACGATAAAATAAGAATATACAATACATATGAGTGTTTTAATTATATATGTACAACTGTATATGCACATGTGTACATACTGCGCTTGTGTATATATTTATATAAGTGTGCAATATATCGAGTGAATTGAATATATAATCATGCAAATATACACAATGAATGGCACACAGTGGCATTTACCGGCAACCCATGATGGATGAGTTAAACTTGTGTATTTTTAGACTTGTACATGCCAAAGTGTTGTGCAATTCTTCAACATAAAATACGATTTTACGTGGTGGTTGTTTTTTTACATACATGTGAAAATATTGATCGTTGCCATAATGGAATATGTGAAGTTTTGTTGATTATAATTTAAGTGACGCCTATAAATCCCTCAGCTTACGTAAGTACTTTACTGCAATTTAAAATTGACTGCGAGCCCCATTTACGCTTGCAAGGTTTTACCGCGTGCGCGCGTGTGTGTACGTGCACTGTTTAGTATACGTGGGAGCGGTGGTGCAGCGGTTAGCGCGCTGCGTTACAAGTCCAGCGACCCGAGTTCGATTCCCGCTCACGGCCAACACCAGTGACGATAATCTGAACCGGTCTTGGGCCTCTCCTATGTCGAATCAGAGTACCTGGTGGGGTGTGTATAACACATCACCAATAGAGAGACAAAGGCGGCCGGGCGTGGTGCTGGCCACCCACCCCCTCGTGTGTCGTGCCGGCCTTCATAGGTGCTGCTCGCTCACAGCACTTGCCCCAGCAGTCTGTTAAGGCTACACGGGGATCTTTGTATATTGTAACAGATGAAGATGTAGGACCAGCCCTCCTCCACACGTGTCACATGTGAATGTATGCCCACCCCATAATAACGACTTCTTTGGTACAAATACATTTTACCCGTAAGTAACGGGACGGTGGCAAGCCTCTGCTTGCAATGCACCGCACATTCCTCTCCCATCACTATCATCGCCGTCAGCCTCTGGTCTATCCACTGCTGGATGATGGCCTCCCTCCCGCCGTCGCCATCCCTCACGGTCCAGTGATGCCACCACCACCATTCGTCTCACTCCTTCCCTCCTGCAGACGAGCCGACCGTCATGCCAGCCACTCTGGCCGGAGCAACTCTCCCCCCAAGTGATTGAGATCCCCCAACCACCCTCCGCCCAACCCCCTCTCCCCCCGAGTGTCATTCTGGCTGCTCAATATGGTGAGCGTGAAAGAGCAAGTGGGAGAGACTGCGAAGGGATGAGTGAGCGAGAGGGTGAGTTGGTGGACAGTGATTGAGTGAGACGTGTGATTCGCCTGGTGATCGACAGGGTTAGTGAGCGAGAGGGTGAGTGGGCGAGAGGGTGAGGTGAGTTATTAGAATGGTGAGCGGACGAGATGCCGAAGTGGCTGAGTGTGAGAGAGAGAGAGAGGATGAGATGTCACTAGGGCAGGTGTTGTGCCACCAGATATGCGTCGACCATTGGTGCAGTGCCTGTGGGTGTCTGGGCGTGGGTGCCACGGGGTGCGTTACCGCTCCACCAGCTCCACACTTCGGCGCACATTCGCCTCGG